TGAGATCTGCCGGCCGCAGATTTCCTCTCTTGCTCTGAAAGTGGCCAAGGAATAGACCCTGCACTGAAATTGGGAAGGACATAAGGATGTCGGAGGTATAGATGCCTGAGAGTCACACTCCCCAAGAGATCTGAGCGCACACAGAGCCTGCTAAGGGTGCAGAGCCCCTAAATTCTACTACACCCAGAGCATTCCAGGGGGCGGGGCGGGGGCGGGGCAGGGGGTGGGGGGGGAATGGAAAGCTGGACCTTGAAAAAGCTTCCCAAGCTATGTGGATGATCCACCAAGTTTGAGGATGGTTGTTTTGATTCATTTTCGCTCTCTCCCCCGTCTCCCCCTTCGCCCCTCCCCCTCCCCCTCACTTAAATTCAGAAATAGGAAAACTAGGGAAGATAGAGCAAATGAGAGAGCAGAGATGTAAGCACCTTGCCAAGCTGACACCGTCAATAACAACCAGCCCAGTAAGCAGGTGTGGAACACACCACCCACATGAGGAGCTATCAGACGGGAGAATGTAAGACCCGACTCCTGTACCTGAACCCAGAGCACAGACTGGAAAATCCACCAGTGGGCATCATTGCGAGAAGTGGGTCAGTGCAAGACAACCAAGAGGGCAGTGTGGAGTGTGACCCGGTGACATGGAAAGTACCTGTACATAGAAGGGTGTAGGCCTGCGGCAGCCAGGGAAAAAATACACACACACATACACACACACACACACACACACACACACACACACACACGGCTGAGAAGGGGGAGGCTCGGGAGGCTGAGACAGGAGGTTCATGAGCTCAAGCCTGGGCTACTTAGGGGAGACCCTAGCTTAGAAAAAAAAGGGGGGGAGGAGGCAGAGGAGGGAGGGAGACCATTGACTGTTTTGACAGCACCAACAAGACTCAGTCTGCGGGTGACACCCAGCCCAGCTGGATAGTTTGCAGCCTCTGTCCTGGAGGGTCACCCAGACCAGTCAGTCCCCTGCTGAACCCTTACGCTTTCTCCAAACGTTGCAGTGCAAGGGTGGGGTGTGGGGGTCCTGTCCGCCAGGGTGAGTGAAGGCCTGGTGTGTGGCTGAGTGTGCAAGGGTGAAGCCCTCCTCCCAACTAAAAATGAATTCCAGGCCACCAGGCCACAGCTGCCCACTGTAGCAGGGTTGAGACTTCCAGGTCAGAAGGGACTCGCTGGTCAAGGGGTACCATCATCAGGGGATGCAGGGCATAAAAGAATGGGAGGAAAAGTCTGGGGTCTTCTAGAAAGCAATGCCTCCTTGAAAAGGAGGGAGAGACAAGAAAGAAGCATTGGCTCTTAAAACACACACACACACACACACACACACACACACACACACACACACACACACACCTAAATCCTCCACAGGACGGAATGTCCACAGAGGCCCTGGCCAGTCACTAGAAAGAACGCCATGCCATCTCACCAGATGGGACTGACTTGATCACTACCTGACCTCTAATAGTACAAATGAATTGCCTTCTTTTTTGGCTCCCAGGGAGCCGATCTCCTTTGTTGATAGTTCCAGCCTCGGGGCACAGCCCAATGCTTGGCGAGTAATAGGTACTTAGCGGATGGACCGCAGACAAGAAATTGGCCCTGAACCATTTTAATACCATGTCAGCCATTAAGAGGAGCAACATCAGCCCAAAGCACTCTGTAACTCACAACCTGTTGCCTAAATCCTCCGACTTTCTCTTACTGAACTGCTGTGTGTGTGTGGATGTGGCCCAGGAGACCACGGGTCTTTGCAAGACGGACAGCCCGAGAGCCAACTCCAACCGAGCTGTCTGCACCTCGGCTTGGCCCTTGCCCCCTTGGGATCCTGAAACGCTGCCCGCTGCTGAACCGTTATACCGTTGAACAGACAAGTGTATCAGGGCTTGGTGTATCCTCAGGCCAAAGGAGCTCAAACAGAAACATGGGGCACGGGAACAGCGCTGCCTAAGGTTAAATTCATTGGCTCCAAAGTCACACTGTTTTGTGGTTCTCCTAGCGGGTGACCTTGGACCTCACTTGGCCTGGAAGACCTCACCCTGTAACAACGCTGTAATAGCAATCGTGACTTCGGGGATGGCTCGGCAGGTAAAAGCACTTTGTCCAGGTGTGAGGACCAGAGCTGGGATCCCCGGGACTCTTGTCACATCTGGACACGCAGCCTGAGTGTCTGCCATCCCTGCTGCTCCTGTGGGGGAGACAAGAAACGGAGCCCGGAGAACCTTCCAAAGCTTTGGAGCCGGCTAGCCTGGCACACACAGTGAAAGAACACCAGCGACCCTGCTTCCAGATGCAATGTGAGGGGGTGCCTGACACCCCACGCTGTCCTCTAACCTCTGCGTACAGGCCGTGACATGGAAGCAGGCACAGTCACGCACACAGGAACGCAGAGAGAGGAGAGGGGAAGGAGGGACTCCACAGAGGCCTGGGAGACACACCAGGGGCCTCACGGAGGGACTGCCGCTACACCTGCTGCTGACTTGGGGCAAGGGAGACGGAGCTGTGACGACGACGGCCACCGCTTGCCAGGACCCACCGGGCAAGCCACTGCTCAGCAGCATGAACTCGGTCACTTGCCCGGCTTCCTAGACCTCAAATCCCTGGTCTCTGCTACAGGGAGGGCGTGGTCACCAGGACCTGGCCGAGGAGTGAGGGATCAAGTGTGTTAGGGACTCCGCACAGAGCCCTGGCGCGGCTCCTCAATGTGAACTGGCACCTCAGCATCACTGCACAAAGTTGTGCGAGCCCAAAATACCGACGGGAAAATCCACCAGGGCTGTTTGCCCTACACACATAGGCCTTCCCCGTAGCCCCATGAGCTGCAAGGTTCACCACCAGCTCCCAGAAAGAGCTTCTGACCGCTCTGTCTGACCTAGGGAACATTGGGAAGTCAGTTCGAGGGGCAGGGCTGGCCTCCCCCCCCCCACCCCGGGAGGCGCCAAGTCAGCTGCTTCAACTGCCTCTGCCCCCACAGTGCTGCAGCCTGACGGTGAGCGAGAGGACATGCAAATACACCCTAAAAACAGCCTGTCATCTTCACGGCCTGGATGGTACATGTCTGTGGGTGCCTGTGAGGACAGAGCGTCACTACCAAGTACAGGGCATATGCCACCAGTTTGGGGGTGGCTGTGAAATGTAAAAATACCCAACCCCAAAATGGTTTTTTTTTTTTCCTCCAAAAAAAGGAAGCTCCTCCAAGGTCTTTGGGGGGAGGTGAGAAGTGGAAAACTCTGCACCCCCAGGAAGGTCACAGCTGGGCCAACGCTTACCCGAAGTTGCTGGTTTTCATCAAGCCACTCTCAGCCTCAAAGTTCAACGACACTGTTCAGTTAGCGGCCCTCATAACAGAACAACCCAGAAAGGACCGTTTTCAGGTCATGGGCCCAGGAAGAGGAGAAGCGTAGGGCCAAAGACAAGGGTCTTCCAATGACAGTATTGCTACCCATAGCCCATTGTCCCTGGACAGTAAGCTCAGTCAGTTCCCATCTTGGAATCAGTGCTCTTTAGTAGACGCCAGTGATGCCCTTCATCCAGGCGTCTCAAGCCCAGAGGCTCCGGGAGGGACCGTGCGGTGGAGGTCGAAAGCAGCTAGCGGTAAGATAGGTCAAACCAACAGAAAGGGCAGAGCCAAGGTTCGAGGGAGGCATCAGGGTCTCTGGTAATCAAGAGTGAGACAACTCCCCACCATCCATTTGGCCTTTGTGAGGCCCTGACCGGAGGAGCAGTGTGCCACTGGATTTTCCAAATTTTCTGCTGAAAATTTTAAGTGAAATAACAGGTTGGGTCGCTCTTAAAATATTGAACAGGCCAAACCAAACACATCTGCAAGCCAACTCCAGCCTGCAAAGAGCAAGCTCGCCACTCAGGACAAGCAAGCCCCCGGAAGCCCTTCTCGGCAGCTTTCACGTGGAGAGAGGGGACGAGAAGAACAAACACCCAGTAAATGCACACAGTGTGTGCACCCTGACACCTTTCTCCACCCCAAAGCCCTTCTCTCCACAGCTTCCAAGCTCTGAGTCTCCACTGAGGTTTACCTTTGCGTGTGAACGCTTCCTCCAGGCAGGACCATGCGCACACACACACACACACACACACACACACACACACACACACACATATGCACGCACACACACACACACAAACACACACTACTTGGCCACTGCCTACTCCCAGCCCACCCCAGCTACCAGTACCTCCTAGCCCTGGCTCCTTCCGGGTGGTGGATTTTGGGAAGAAACCGTCCTGCAGGAACCCTCACCAGGTATTCCTTTGGACAAACCACAACACCAGCTCTGGGTAAATGCATGAAGCATGCACTCCACTGGAACACCGGGACCCACGCTGGGGGACTGTTGCCTCTCACTCGTCACTGGGGAACAGCTGTCCTGACACTGTGAGGTCCTGAGAGCAGCAGGTGCAGGAGACCTCAGAAGCGGGTGCTTCCATGAGTCAGCCCTCTGCAAACCCCATCTCAGGCAGGTGGTGCTGGGGACCCAAGCCACACCCATCTTTGCAGGAGCCTAAAAAGGAAGGCTGCACTCTCCTTTTTCCTGATTTCCCTGGTTCAGCTCCAGAGGGGAGCCAAAAAGGCTAGAGACCATCAACACTGACTTTTAAAAAGAATTCAATGCCCTCTATGCCTTTCAAAGCATGCTCACACCTCCATGACCTTTATTGATCCTCCCAGCACACCAGAGAGACTGCTAAGGTAGTATTCGTGCTCGGTATTATCAGTCTCCTCTCACCTCCTAGACCCACAGGCAGGGTAAGCCTCCTGCCCCAGCCCAGTGCAGCTCAAACTTGAATGCATGCATGAATCCCCCAGAGCTTGGTAAAAATGCAGGTTCTGACTCCGCAGGTCTGGGGATGAGACCTAAGAGTGCCCATTCCTCCTACCGGTTCTCAGACCACGCGTTGAAGAACGCGGCTGAGGTTCCAAGGTGTGTTTAGAGCCACACCTGGAAGCCTGGGCTTTGTCTGGAGAACAAGGGTCTCACCTCACTCTTCACAGGTTGGGGCCTCTTGCCCAGTTTCACCTCCAGGAAGTGCAAGGGCGCAATCATGGCCCCAATGTTGCGGATGTCAGCGTATTTCAGCTCCTCTGTGGTCAGAGCAGAGCTGGGAAGTCCGGTGAGGGGGCCGAGCCCTGGCAGAGAGCCTGCGGTCACCGAAGGGTCCGGGATCTGCCCAGGCATCATAGCAGGAGGAGTGGCAGGCCGGCCTGGAGGGGTTGGAGAAAGCAGGATGGGTAGGTTAGCATGAGAAGAGGCTCCGTGAGCTGCCGGAGCCCATCCTTTCCTCACCAGGGTTCCCCTGAATCCTTTCTCCTCCCGGGTGTTCTTCCTGCCTGCAAGCCCCAAGTCCTGGTGATACAGGGAAGCTCAGCCAACTGACTAAGGCCATCCATCCATCTCTGGCACGCAGGGAAGAGCTGGCCCTTTTTAAAAGACGGTGCTTAGCCCAACTGTGGGCGACGTTTATCTGGCACTGGATGGCACCAGGCTGCCCATAGTCTTCCCACTCACCACACCAGACCCGGCCAGAATCCCTTGCAAAGGCAGAAAGGTAACTAACTCCTCGGGGCTCTGCATTGACGCTGTGGACTGGGGGGGGGGGGGGTGAATAGCAGCGGCGGGCGGCAGCCTCTGAAGAGACTGAGCGGAGACAGCAGCGGAATTACAGGCTCCTTCACACCTGTTCAAGAGGCAGCTATTTTTGGCCTGGCATGGTGCCTCCCCTCAAATCACACATCCTACTCGGCACACTTGTTAAGACACCACGAATACAAGATGAACCTAAGCAAAGTTAAAGGTGACTGTGTCCGCCGTGTCCAGTGCCCAAAGAAGGGGGAGGGGGAGGGAGAAGAAGATGGAATTAATCTGCATGTACTTTCTCTGTGCACCACCAGAAAATTCCTTCAAGAGCTCTCTGTTCTCAGAGCCCCATACAAGGAAAGACAGAAGCCAACTTCAAAGGACATAAAAGGGAGATGAACAGCCAGGGAATTCTTGTTTCTTCCTTCCCTCTACTGAGGGAATCTCACAGGTAAGACATAGTCATTTCCCTATTTCCAGGCACAGATACAAGGGAAGAAAGTCTGTCTGCCAATAAATGTATCTAAACATCTAGACCTACCTAGTCCTCCAGCCCACCCACCCATCCCCTCATCCTCCGTCCATTCATCCAATTGATATACAACACCAGCTATTATCGGCCAGCAGGCACCACAACATGGAGGTCAGAGGTTCATAGCCTCGACGCAGCCTTGCCCAGAACAATCTAAAACAAAAACCATTCACACAGTCCAGTGCTATAAGGGAAATAAGTTCACCCTTTTCCCACCTCTCTGCCCAGGTCCATAAAATCCCATCTTTACAGTCTTGGAAATCACGGGTAGTAGGCAGGCAATGAACATGTGTTTCATCCTTGCACTTCCTCCGTCTCCTTGTGGAGAAGGACACACAGGTCAGGACAGCGGAGATGGACATCAGCTGGGCCAGGCTTCTCTGCTGTCAGAGTTCAGGTAACTCCTAAGGCTGTGATATTTGGGGCTATCTGTCCTCATACATAAGTAACCCTGGAGAGGGACCCTCACCACCTTTTCTCATTCAATTTCTTTGATCTAGAATCAAGACAAGGATGCACCTGAATCCCATTTTTATCCATGAATACAAGACACATTCTCCATTTCACCTCTGAGGGTAAACTCTGCTTCCCTATCTAAGTCTTGAGCCTACTTATTTATTTTTTGTTTTATTTGGTGTGTAAAGGTGTTTTGCCTGCATGTATGTCTGTGCACTGTGTGGGTGCAGTGCCCTTGAAGGCCAGAAGAAAGTTCAGATCCCTTGGAACTGGAGTTACAGACAATTTTGTGTAGTTGGTTTTTTTGTTTTGTTTTGTTTTATTTGGGGGGGCCCAACACCCAGCTCCCAAATAAATACATAAAGGCTTATTCTTACTTATGAATACCCAGCCTTAGCTTTGGCTTGTTTCTAGCCAGCTTTTCTGAACTTAAATTATCCTGTCTACTTTTTTACTCTGGGCTTTTGCCTTTCTCTGTTCTATATACCTTCTTTACTTACTCCATGGCTGGTTCTGTGGCTGGGTGGCTGGCCCCTGGCTTCCTCCTCTCCTTCTCCTTTTCTCATTCTTCCCTTTTCTTTTCTCTCCTCCTATCTGTCCTCTCTGCCAGCCCCACCTATCTTTCCTCCTACCTCTCTATTGGCTGTTCAGCTCTTTATTAGACCAATCAGGTGTTTTAGACAGGCACAGTAACACAGCTTCACAGAGTTAAACAAATGCAACATAAAAGAACACAACACATCTTTGCATCATTAAACAAATATTCCACAGCATAAACAATGTAACATATCTCAAGCTAGTATTCCGCAACAGTTGTAAGCTACCATGTGAATGCTAGGACTCAAACCCAGGGCCTTTGGAAGAGAAAGTGCTCTTGACTGCGGAGTCATCTCTCAAGTCTCCCGACTTGTCTCTTAAAAACACATGGGTGATTTGCATGCACCCTCAAACAAAAGATTTGGTTGGATGTCATTTTGTCTAAAGAAAGGCACACCTGGATGGTGAGCTGGCTTCTCCTGAAGTACCACATGGCCTCTGTCCATCACATGGCCGACAGAGTCCTTGTCTTGTAGGGATCTTTCATCCCAGCTCCACCTACTATACCCTCAACATCTGGCTCTCCCTGCTCTTAACATTCTCTTCCAACATCCTGAGCACCAATGTGCCCCCACCTCCACCCCCCACCCCCGTCACCTCAGAAAAGGACCTGAGACTCATTCACACTGAGTGGCAGTCTCACAGCTGGAGAAGGCTCTGAACTCATCTGAACCACATCCTCATTTTGCACGTTGAGACTGAAGCACAGAGAAGTAAAATGACTTGCCCAAGGTCACCCAGCTAGATAAGGACAGAGCCAAGACTAGACTCTGGTCGCTAGTTTGGGACCCTGCCTTTTTTTTTTTTTTTTTTTTTTCACTTCCTTTCAGGAGGTTTAAGAGGTGTTAATGCCTTCAGTAGAAGACAGTGTCCTCCACTGACAAACTCCGACCTAAGAGCCATAGTATAGGACCCTCTGTTTCCTGTGGAGACCCAGTTCTAGGAAGTTCCCCCGAACAGCTTGAGTAGGAGGATCCCATGGGAAACAGGCCCGAGGCCCTTCCCACATGGACATTCCTTAACCCCAAGGTGGCACCCGGGGTCAGTGACTGAGTGGGGTCTGTGGTGCAGAGGGGTCTGAAGCTAGCACAGGAAGAGGCCTCCCCAGAGCGCCCTTGAGCAAGCTGCCATCTCCCTAGAAGAGGGAAGGGGCAGCCGCCAATTCCTTCTCCTGTGTGGCAAAGCTTTGCCAGGGCCCAGCTATTCTACCACCCGAGAGCAGGTCACGCCGGCTGTTACTCGGGTGATCTCCCTGCCTACGATCATTTCCCGCACAACAGCATGATGAAGAAAGACTTGTTGAATGAGTGAGCGTGTGAAGAAAGGAACAGCAACAATCCACGGCCGCAAACGTTAGCACGCAGGGTACAGATCGCTCCGGAATCTTACAGGCTCTCTGCTAGGCCACACTTCTTCCTCCAGACCATTTTTTTTTCCCCCACAGAAGAGGCCAAGAGAAAGCCCCCAAGGGCTTTGGCCCGTTTCTCATCTCAGCCATCCCTTCAAGATGGAAGCCAGACCTCACTCTGTTCCCGGAACGGCAGGCTCTGTTTGCAGCTTCTGTTTATGTTCATACAGATGGTATACACGGGACACTAACAAACGCTCCCGACAAATAATGAATTTTCTGCTACCGAGGAACTCCCCCGACCCACCCCCACCCCCACCCTGGGAATAGTAGCTACCCAAATTCTTGCCATTCTTGTCCCCCTGTGAATCCATCCCAAAGACAAATCTTGGACAGGGGACCAGGCAATAGGCTTTCTTTTGTAGAAGAAAAAAAAAATCACCCTCTCCTTCCCCGGCTTGGGAGCCCTAACTGCTCAGATGGAAACCACAGAGTCCTTAACACATGGCATTCCTAGGAGACAGCCACAGCACTGACTCTCCCCAGGGAGGAGTCATCCCTCCCGGCTGTCCCGGGGAAGGGGAGGGGAGGGCAGAGGAGCCGCAGCAAAATGGAAGCCCATTGACTGCGAAGCCACGGGTTGACTTATCCAAGGCCAAAAAGCAGCTTTGGTGTTTCGGAAAACAAAGCAGTTCCATGTAATTTAGAGAATCTGTAAAAGCAGAAGGGTTAGAGACGGAAGGAACTCTCAACAGCGAAGAGAAGGAGCCCACGGCTCCAAGGAAGACGACGCGGGAAAGATGAGAAGAGGTGAAATTATCCGCCACAGTCCTCGTTCCAGACAGAAACAATTCAGTGGGAAATGAGAAGTGCACACTGGATGCCCTAGAAGAAAGACCTGATTTTCCTTCCCTTCTGAGCCTCGGAGGTCTGCAGTAAAGATAGACACCCTCCATGTCTCCATGAGTAACTAGGGTGATGATGAGTAACAGACCAAGCTCCCAATATTCCCCATTTGGGTGTTTTGCCCAAAAATGCAGAAGAGAATCCAAAGTGACTATGGCGATTTGGGACACTGACCAAGGATAAGTTGGAAGCTAGCCAATGTGAGGGAAACCCAGGCTAGGTATGTATCAAAGTATCACCTGCTACTTCCCATGCAAAAACAAAATAATTTAATAATAATAATAACAATAATAATAATAATAAAGCAAAAAGAAAACGCCCAAAACCAAGATGACAAGCCCAGTACAAATAAGACTTCTAGACAAGGGTCAAGGGTCAAGGGTCACAGGGACCCTAAGCCGCTGTGGAGCTAAGATAAGGGGAGAACTGACGAGGCCCTCTGAAAGCCAGTTTAGAGAAAATGGGACAGATGGGCTCAACGGGAAAGAACTGGAGGAAATATCTAGTATTTATACGTCTGTGCTGACTTCCTTGGGGACTTGGAAGAACACAGTAGGGTGCCGCGTTGGATGCGCAGAATAAAAAGCCACCAAGTTTTTCCAGGCCAAAAATAGCCAGCGGCAGATATGAACACCGAGAGTCCTTCCCCTCGAGAGAATCAAGGTGGCAGGAATCTACTCAGCTTCCCTACCTGCTCTTCTTGCCCACCGTATGGAAAGCAACCCAATACCCCGCGTCTTTTGGTATGCCTGTAAGTCGTGGTCTCACTTTGGCAAGCCACACACATA